ATGTTTAACTGCCCCAGGTTCCAAGGGAGTCTGGCTCTAACCTTGTGAAGTGGGCCCAGGATAGACATAATAGGATAATTATAACTAAATGATAGTGCTAACACTTGGCAAAAGTTAACACCTTAGCCATTTCTGTTTGGAGTTTCTGTAGTTTAGGAGTATCCCAGGTATCTTCATCATCTGCACTCATTCTCTCTTTTTTTTTGAGACAGAGTCTAGCTCTATTGTCCCAGCTAGAGTGCTGTGGCGTCAGACTAGCTCACAGCAACCTCAGACTCCTAGGTTCAAGCAATCCTCCTGTCTCGGCCTCATGAGTAGCTGGGACTACAGGCACACACCACCACATCCAGCTAATTTTTTCTATTTTTATTAGAGACTGAGTCTTGCTCAGGCTGGTCTCAAACTCCTGAGCTCAAGCGATTCTCCCACCTCGGCCTCCCAGAGTGCTGGGATTACAGGTGTGAGCTACCATGCCCAGCCAGCACTCATTCTCTTTGACTAGCAGCTGTGACTAGTTGACTTCAATTTGGATTTTTAGAGAAGTTCTTAAAATGCTTTACAGAGCCACAGCAGCTGAGAAGTGTGCAGTTAGCCTGATGGGTTTTCCTTTGTAGGTTATTTGATGCTTTTGCTGCTTGCAGAATTTTCTCCTTCATTTTGACTTTGGCCAGGTTGATTACTATGTGTCTTGGAGATGACCTATTTGCTATGAATCTTCCCAGTGTTCAATTTCCATCTTGTGTCTGTGTGTCTGAGTATCTGGCGATGCCTGGGAAATTTTCCTCAATAATGTCCTCAAATAGGTTTTCCATGCTTTTAGTGCTTTCTTCTTCACCCCTCAGGGATACCTATAATTCGAATGTTAGTTTGCTTCACATAGTCCCATATCTCTGTCAGTGATTGCTCAGACTTTTGTTTTATACTCTTCTCTGACTCTCTGAACGACTGGGTTATCTTGAGAGCCTTGTCTTCAAGCTCTGAGAGTCTTTGTTCTCCTTGGTTTCACCTGTTGTTAAAGCTTTCAACTGCATTTTGAAATTCCCTGAATGACTCTTTTCATTTCTTTAAGTTCTATTATATCCTTTTTTATGTTGCCTAGCTCTCTAGTGACTTTTCATTGATTTTCTGGAATATTTTTTTAGCTTCTTTTTGTTGGTTTTCAACTTACTCTTCAATTCCAATCATCTTATTTGCCATCCATATTCTGAATTCCATTTCTTTCATTTTGGCCATTTCCTTATGAGTGGAGCCCACTGCTGTAGCTTCATTGTGTTCTCTTGGGGGTGTCAAACTGTTTTGTTCTTCCATGTTGCCAGGGTTCTTTTGCTGGTTTCTTTCCATCTGGCTCCTCTTCTCTTGACTCTGGGTTAATAGGATTGCAGGGCACCTGTTCTCTCTTGCTGGGGACTCCCTTGAATCAACTCCAGGAGCAATGGCTGCTCAGGGCTGGGGTTCCTGAGTGAAGTATTGGACCTCAGGGAGGTTCTGCAGACCCAGTGGTAGTGGCGGGGACTCAGTACTGGTTCCTGGAGTCCAGGCACAACTCTGGAGTCTCAGAAGTGGAGCTGCAGGCCTGGTGGAGACCCTAGAGCTACAGGAGCAGAGCCTCAGACTCAGCACAGCGAGAGCTTCAGAGCTGGCTGAAAAAACCCAAGGTCATCTAGATTTTCTCCTATGTGATCTTCTAGGAGTTTTATACTTTTGCATTTACATTTAGGTCTATGATCCATTTTGAGTTAATTTTTGTGAAGGGTGTAAGGTCTGGGCCAGGACTCATTTTTTTTGCATATGGATGTCCAGTCATCCTATCGCCATTTATTGAAAAGACTGTCCTTTCCCCATTGAATTACTTTGGCACCTGTGTTGAAATCAAAGTATGAGAGTTTATTCCTGGACTCTCAGTTCTGTTCCATTGATCTATGTGCCTGTCCTTGTGCCAGTATCACACTGTGTTCATTACCTTGACTTTATAATAAGCTTTGAAATTGGGTAGCATGAGAGTTCAACTTTGCTCTTCTTTTTCCAAACTTTGGTTAATTTAGAGACTTTGCATTTCATAGGAATTTTAGTATTAGCTTATCAATTTCTATAAAAAAAGCCTGCTGGGATTTTGATATGGCTAACATTGAACTTAAAGATCAATTTGGGAAAAATTGCCATCTTAATAGTATTGAGTCATCCAGTCCATGAACATGGAATTTCTTTTTATTTATTTAGATTTTCCTTATTTCTCCTCAACAGTGTTTTATCATTTTCAGCGTTCAAAGCTTGTAGTTCTTTTGTTAAATATATTCTTAAGTATTTACTTCTTTTTAATGCAATTGTGAATAGAATTGTATCTTTATTTGATTTTAAACCTTCTTAACATTGGAAGTCTTCACCATTAGAAGAACATTGTTCTTATCTTCTATAAATTGAAGTAATATAATTCAAAATAAGTTGGTACTAACATCTCAAGCACATCGAGCTTGAAATCCCAAATATTTTACAATTATTGTCTCAAGTGAATTGAGGTCCTTTGTTTACCATAGATTATTTTTAAATTCATTTTTGGCATAAAATTATAATTGTTTAGTTTATAATTCTTTGGTTGGTTACAAGTCTAGCTGGACTTGCTGTGTGCCCATGGTCTGTGCCTGTCAGGTAGGTGGCTCTGCTTCTTGGGGCTGGCTAGATGTTGGCCAGGACTACAGGAGTGCCTGGGCCACATTCCTACCCTGGGAGTGGTTTTTGTGGTGTGTCGCTGGGATCTAAGAGAGAATAGAGGTGCACAGGACCCCATGGAGCCCAGGCTTAGAATTGTCATATTGTCACTCTGCCTCATTCTGTTACTCAAAGTGCACCACAAGGCCAGCGCAGATGTAAGGGGAAAATGACCCCATCTCTTGATGGGAGGAGCTTCAAAATCAAATTCAAAATCAGTGTGGATATAGGAGGGGAATAATTGTGGCCATTTTTGCAAATAGATCACTATAGTAGTGTATATCGTTCCAATTCAGTTGGCTTATTAGAATACAAGTCATCTTTTTGTTTTGTTTGGGAAATTAACCACTTTCTGAATCTTGGCAGCGACAAATACCATCTCTTCCCCCAGGAGCTGAATATGCTCCATATTGGTTTTCCCGTTCCACCGCATTTAGGGCACGGGCACCTGTGCAGCGGAGGGTGAGGTAGTAGGTTTCGTTTGGAATTGATTTCTGGTTAGGGTGATGACGGAAGTGACTGGCTGCAAGGCCAAGTTCTCACTGCAGAAATGGTAGTTGTGCTGGTGTTGATCTTGGTTGTGATCAAGTTCAGGGTGGAAAGGTCTGGAGGGTGCCAACTGTCACCTCTCTTGCTGTGCTCAGTAAGGTCATCAGTGTTTCATGCGAAGCAGGGCCTGGTGCTGTAACTGGACACAGGGAGCCCTTGTTAGAGTTACTGAAACGAGTTCCTAGAGATGATGGGTCGGGTTGGTCTCCCAGCCCACATCCCCTGACTTCAGGTTTCACTCCTGCAGGGAGACCTCTGATGTTGCCCAGATACTGCTCTTTGGCTCCAAGGGTCTCAGCAAACCATGCCTGGCAAGGAGAGGGATCTGAGGAGGCCGGTGCCTGAGCGGCCTTGCTCTGCTTAGTCTCCCAGGTTCGCTTCTCATTTCAGTCCAGTGGTGTAGTGGTCATCCTTGTAGCAATTAATAACATGAGATTTTAAAGAAAACTCATCAGCCAACTAGAGAACTGGTGGTTTGAAATGATCTGCTATTTTGCATCAGTTTTCTAGCTTGTGAAGCTCACCTTGCTTCCAGGTGCCACCCATGGCTCTGGCTGTGCAGGGGTCCCACAGGGTCTTGGTGGGTCAGCAGCAAGCCCAGGGGACAGCATGTATCCCTTGCTTTCCCTGCAGGCAGCCTGTGTGGCGATGGCACCGGTGCGTGCTACCTGCTGCCTGTCTTCGATACCGTGTTTGTCAGGAGGAAACACCGTCGCCAAGGCCTGGGGATGGCCATGCTGCAGGACTTCTGTGAGACGTTCCCAGAGGACAAGGCCTTAGGGATCAGTTGCCCGATTTCTCCTGCCATGTACCAAGGTAAACCCACCTGGTGTTGTGTGGAAGCATTTGGGTAACAGTGATGGGTAACACGTGTGCATTCCAGGAGGTTCTGGGGAGGGAGGTTCTGCAGAGCCCTTGTGGGCAGATGCAGGCCTCGGCACAGGGACACGCACGTGGGGTTTTCCTTCCTTCTGAGAAATCTTTCCCATTGCTTCAGCACAAGCTGAGACTTCATGTTTGATCGCAAGAAGCTTCCCAAGCTGAGAAATAATTGGATTTAGAAACAATCAAAGCCGAATCAACAACCTCAGAGACGAGGTGACTCCAGACAGCTGCTGGCATGCCGCAGACTGCTGCAGGGCCTCGGAGTGTCTTTGCTCTTTCATTTGAAGCTTATGGCTCTTCACTTGTTCCTGTGAACTTGAAGCTGCGGGAGAGCCTGGGAATTGAAGGGAAGGCGGGAACCGTGTGGAAAAGCAAGCTCCGAATGCGCTGAGTTTCCCAGCATCTCTTAGTGCCTGGGATGGCTCCCTCCCATAATCCTTATAACGCATTTGTCAGAGAAGGATCAAAAAGCTCTGATGTTGAATGTCACACTCAGGTCAACACGGCGGGAGATTCTGGAGAGCGTCTCTCCAGGCCCCCGAAGCATACCCATCCCGCTTTGTGCCCTGCCTCACTTCTTGGTGTGCAGGTGCTTTTGAATCCTTCATATTGAGTTTCCAGTGTCCTTCTGGTATAATAGATTGGAGTGAAAAGTTAGGAAAGGCAAGGAGCCTTCTGTTGCTCTGAAGTCAAAATGAAAACATACTTTTCCTCAAGTGGGTTGAGTTGTTTCTTTGTATTTTCAAACTCTTAGTCTGTTATTGAACCCTGAAGAGCCTTGAATTTCTGCAAAGAGTGCTTGAGGCTTGCTGCACCGTGTAGCTCACTTTCAGGGGCTGGAGCGTTCCAGGGCCCAGGCGGGCGATCCTGTGTCCACACCCGTGGCCTGCCAGTCCCTCTCCACGTTCTTGATTCAGTTCTGAGAGCTCTGATTGAGTGAGTTGCCCCCCTCTCCCTGTGCAGGCCGCCTTGGGGTTTAGGGTTGTCTTGCTAAGGGAGCTGAAGAGAGCCGTTTCCCCAGGGGACAGCAGGCTCCAAGGGCAGGGGCTGTCCCTTCTCTGTCTCTGCCTACAGAGAAGGAAGATGTGAAGGTGCTGATTCTGAGGCATGCTTCTTCTCTCGGGGTTTCAGCCACCCAGGTGTCCCTGTCTGGCTTAATTACGGAGTACAGTCCTGCCTTCCTACTGCACAAGAGGGACTCCCGCCCTGGACCCCATGCTTCAAGCCCTCTTTCAGCTGTGTCCCTCTCCGTGCGCTCAAGGCATATGTCCACCTGTGTCCATGCTACTCCTTCTAAACAGGCTCAGAGTACTGGGACCCCAGAATTCCTGCCAGTGGCTGCTGAGGGCCTGAGGGGACCTCGTTCCTGCATCTGTGCTCGTGAGGGTGGACCACACCACCAGTTCGCGCATCCCTAGAGCCCAGGGACAGCTGTTGGTGGGCTGTGGATGCAGCGTGTGTAGGTCGCTTACGTGTGTGTGTGTGTAGGCCCCTTGGGGTGTAGGGGGGCTGGGGCGGGAGGGAAAAGCGGTGGGCTGCTGGCTGGGGGCCAGCTCAATGGTATTGCCACATTCTGGCGCAAAACTTCAAGGAGTCCAAGAATTCTAAATTTGAAACTGGCTGTCCCTGTTGTCAGGAAGCTATATTTATCCAGATAGGAGGGCAGAACGTATCTTATCTAGCACTTTGCTAGCTTGGTTTATACCTTTCAAATACAGACATACCTCATTTTATTGCACTTTGCAGATACTGTGTTTTTTACAAATTGAAGGTTTGTGGCAATCCCAAGTCAAGCAAGTCTTTTGGCACTATTTTTCCAACAACGTGTGCTCATTTCGTGTCTCTGCGTGACATTTTGGTAATTCTCTCAATATCTCAAACTTTTTCATCATTATTATATCCATCATGGTGATCTGCAATCAGTGATCTTTGATGTTAGTATGGTAATTGTTTTGGGACATCATGAACTGCACCCGTGTAAGACGGCTGACTTACTAGGAAATGTGGTGTGTTCTGACTGCCCCACTGACTGGCCATTCCCTCCATCTCTCTCCCTCTGCTTGGGCCTCCCTAGTCCCTGAGACACAACAATATTGAAATTAGGCCAATTAATAACCCTACAAAGGCCTCTAAGTGTTCAAGTGAAAGGAGTAGTCACACATCACTCACTTTAAATAAAAAGCTAGAAATAATTAAGTTTGATGAGGGAAGACCTGTCTAAAGCCAAGATAGCTGAAAGCTAGGCCTCTTGCACCAGTTAGCTGAGTTGTGAATGCAAAGGAAAAGTTCTTGAAGGAAATTAAAAGTGCTACTGCAGAGAACACACAAATGATAAGAAAGCACAACAGCCTTATTGCTGATATGAAGGAAGTTTTTGTGGTCTGGATGGAAGATCAAACCAGTCACAATATTCCCTTAAGCCAACGCCTGATCCAGAGCAAGGCCCTGACTCTCTTCAGTTCTGTGAAGGCTGAGAGAGGTGAGGAAGCTGCAGGAGAAAAGTTTGAAGCTAGCAGAGGTTGGTTCATGAGGTTTAAGGAAAGAAGCCGTCTCTATGATACTAGCAAGGTGAAGCAGCAGGTACTGCTGTAGAAGCTGCAGCAAGTTATCCAGAAGATCTAGCTAAGATCATTGATGAAGGTGGCTTACACTGAACAAAAGGTTTTCAATGTAGATGAAATAGCTCTCTATTGAAAGAAGATGCCATCTAGGACTTTCATAGCTAGAGAGAAGTCAATGCCTGGCTTAAAAGCTTTCAAAGGACAAGCTGACTCTCTTGTTAGGGTCTAATGCAGCTGGTGACTTTAAGTTGAAGCCAATGCTCATTGACCATTCCAAAAATCCTAGGGTCCAAATTATGCTAACGCTACTCTGCCTGTGCTCTAGAAATGGAACAGCAAAGCTTGGATGACAGCACATCTGTTTATAGCATGGTTTACCAAATGTTTTAAGCCCTGTTGAGACCTACCGCTCAGAGAAAAAGATTCCTTTCAAAATATCACTGCTCATTGACAATGCACCTAGTCACCCAAGGGCTTTGATGAAGATGTACAAGGAGCTGAATCTTGTTTTCATGCCTGCTGGCACAACATCCATTCTGCAGCCCATGGAGCAAGTAGTAATTTTAACTTTAAAGTTTTAGTATTTAAGAGATAACGTTTCATGAGGCTATAGCTGCCATAGATAGTGATTCCTATGACAGATCTGGACAAAGTCAATTGAAAACCTTCTGGAAAGGATTCACCAATCCAGATGCCATTAAGAACATTTGTGACTGATGAGATGAGGTCAAAATATCCACATTAACAGAAATTTGGAGGAAGTTGATTCCAATTCTTAGGGATGACTTTGAGGGGTTCAAGACTTCAGTGGAGGAAGTCACTGCAGATGTGGTGGAAATAGCAAGAGACCTAGAATTAGAAGTGGAGCCTGAAGAGGTGACTGAATTGCTGCAACCTCATGATCAAACCTTAGTGGACGAGAAGTTGCTTCTTAGGGATGAGCAAGGAAAGTGGTTTCTTGCGATGGAATCTACTCCTGGTGAAGATGCTGTGAGCATTCTTGAAATGACAACAAAGGATTTGTACATTTTATCAACTTAGTTGACAAAGCAGCATCAGGGTTGAAGAAGATTGGCTCCAGTTCTCAAAGAAGTTCTACTCTGGGTAAAATCCCATCAAACAGCATCACATGCTACTGAAATCTTTCGTGATTTCAGGAAGTGTCGATTCCTGCAACAAACTTCATTTTGTCTTATTTTAAGAAATGGCCACAGCTACCCCGACCTTCTGAAACAACCACCCTGATCAGTCAGCACCACCAACATCAAGGCAAGACTCTCTACCGGGAAAAAGATTACGGTTCACTGAAGGCTCAGATGATCCTTAGCATTTTTTTAGCACTAAATTATTAATATTTTTAAAATTAAGGTATGTACATTTTTT